CCTCCCCTGCCCTCCCCTCCTCCTCCCCCATGGTACCCTTGATGTAGCCCCGCTCGCGCAGCGACTGCAGCGTCGGCCGCCTCTGCAGGAACCTACGCAGCTTCTGCCGCACCCGGCTCAGGTCGCTCTCGGGGGTCCCGGGGCTCGGGGCGGGCGCGGCTGCGTGGGGACCCCGGTGTCAGCGGGGTGTTGGGTCCCAACCCGGGCGTCCCCGTACCCTGCCCCGCTGGGCCCACCTGTGCCGTCCTCCCTCTCGCTGGACCTGAAGTCAGCGCTGCTGGCCTCGACGTCCTCCCCCAGGGCCGGATCTGCGGGCTGGAACCGTGGCCTGAGCAGGCGGCGCCCAGGAGCCCTGGCAGGCCCCGCTGGGACGGTACCTGGGCTCTGGCTGTCATCCTGGCCGCCCTGCCTCGCCCCTCCCGGGCCCTGCCCGATTCTTGATCCTTCCTCAGTGTCGCACACCCTCCTATCAACAGCGGCACTGCCCTCACCCCCACACCTGCATTCCTGCTTCCACCAATACCGCCCAAAGCCGCACACCCAAAGCTGGCTCCAGGAGCCCAAGGTCAGGGCCCGGAGAAGGAAGAGCTGTGAGGGGCCGCCCCTCTCTGCTTAGCTAGTTGGTATTTCTGACCCTAAAAACGGCAGACTTGAATTCAGTCCGTGTTTGCCTTCCTGTTTCGGCCTGTCGTTCTGGCCTGAGTTCTGAGTGTACCTGCTCTGCTTCCTGCCTCCCTTGACATGGGGGATGCCCCACAGGCTGTCCCCTTCTGCAGAGCCCTCTCTCCCGAGAGGCCACCCCTGGGGGTGCCACGGCTTGCTGTGCAGGGCAGAGACCCCAGGGGCCAGGGCTCTGCCTACCGGCTCCTCGATGCCCTGCCCGATGGCCTGGTGCCAGGCGCTGATGACGCCCTCCGAGTCGTGCTGGATCAGGTACTCAGAGCCGTCGCGGCTCCGCAGCTGGAGGGACACAAGTCAGGGGTCACTGAAGGTGCCTACCGGCGTCGGGTGGGGTCAGAGGTGGAGATGACTGGTCCCTGTCCCCACGGGCGAGCCTGGCCTTGAGGGAGGAGAGGTCTGTAGGCTGCCCCTCCCCCTGGGGAGAGCAAGACCTGCACACTGGGGACTCTGGGCTGCCCCAGCTTTTCCGGCCTGTGTCCCCTGCCCCACACTCCAGTCCATCCAGCATCGGCAGCCAGAGAAGCCTGCCACAGGGCCGGTGGCACACAGCCGAGCTGCACAGCCGGCCACCCCACCCGCCCTGTGACCCAAGAGAAGGGGCTGACAGCTGTCTAAAACAACCGCCATTATTTCTGGCAGCTCACTCAGAACACAACCAGTCACATGGCCTCGAAGTGTGAAAGGCCCGTGTCATAGAAGGTGCCTTGACCTGAGGAACACCGCTGAGCATCTGTGGCTCTGCTTGGGCGTCCTGGTCCCCGAGAAGCTGCCCAGCCTCTGTGCTAGAGACTTCGGGAAAATCGAGTCTCCCACAGGCTACCCCGGGCAGAGGGAGAACCGCTGCCATCAGCAGGGAGGCAGGCTTCTCGTTTCCCTCAGGACTGGCACCCTTCCTAGCTCGCACAGCTTCGAAGGGCACCGTGGGCCTTCATACCTCGCCAGAGAAGTCACCTGGCCTGCTGTGGTGGCTGAGGCAAGAGGATCGCCATGTGTTTGAGGCCAGCCAGTGCTACACAATGCGTTCAAGCCTAGCCTGGACTATGCAATATGGTCAGACCTCATCTCAAAAAACTAACCCCAGGGCGGTGATTTAGCTCAGTAGTGCCGCTGCCTGCCTAGAAAGTGCAAGGTCCCGAGTTTGATCCCCGGTACCAAAACAACAACAACAACAAAAAAAACAACTAACCCCTTTGTGGGGGGCCTTGCCCCCCCGCTAGAACTCTTGAGTGCCTTTTACGGACATATCCGGGCCTGCTGCAAATCTACCCGGCAACAAGGAAGTAGCCCCAGTACCCTCCTCTTGCTCCTCCCCTCTAGCCCTACGGTATATATGT